CCTCCAATATGTAAATCTAACCTTATATTTGTAATTATAAACAGAAAGATAGGCAAATATTTGTATATTATTTGTTAAGGGCCCCAAAGAGATTAGCTTTATGTATATTACCTATAGGTAACTCGAAGGCTGCTTTTATTTTCTTCTTCCTTGAGTGACAATGTTAAATGTTTGTTGAAGAGAAAATAATAAAATGAAGCTTTAATAACAACAAATGCTCAGCTCATTTACAAATTTACTGCTTGGTAGTTTGATGAAGCTGACTGTAACTGACTGTAATAGTGTTACTGGCATGACAATCCATGACACAGGCCTTTTCTGGACCTAGCACATTCTCCAGGCATCTGGGGCCTGTCATTGTTGAAGACTTTTTGCTTAGAGGAGATCACCTAGCTGCACTACAAAAATACAACATTCTTGAATTAATTGTGTGGCCTATGAATTGCCACTGACATGGCATGAAATTAGCAGAGCTGACATCACTCAGTTTAGCAGCCATCAGAAAAGTCACATGAAAGCAATCTATGCAGAAACTGTAAATTAGGATTCACAGCTGTGAGGCCCCCTCCCCCAAGAAGCATTTTAACTTATCTGGGATTTTCTTTTTTATCTTTAAAATGAGAGGTTAAGAAGAGATGATCTCTAAGATTCTTCCCAGCTCTTGAAATTCTGTGCACTATTTAGTTTGAACAATCTTGTGCATCAAATGCATTCAATGAGATAGGAATGGAAAGTGAATACTTGCATACTAAATCATGTTTCTAAATTACTCACACTTTTGTTTCAGGAATAAGCGCTTAGAAGAAAAAAAAATGAACCAAATAAAAAACAAAAGTCACAAGTTAGGAAACCAGTATGCATTCAGCCTATATGAAAAAAATATATATACATATGTTTGGATGGGGAAAAAAAGTCACATTAGAGTCAAACAATGTGATTCCTGAACACTAATAAAAGTACACATATATACCATGATAAGCTCCTGCCTTGTGTAAAAATTCTTTCCAATTCTAGGAATTATCTGGAATCTCATGATAGCTATAAATACAGAACTTAGGTTTCTTCTTCCTTGTTGAAAATGTTGTTATAAATCACTATTATTGAAAAAGTTGCAGGGTGGTCTCCTTTAGGAAGTGTTCAGAGAAGGCACTTAGCAATGAAGAAGTAGTTTTAATTAGTCCTATTATTTTTATTTTCCTCCAACCCCAAAAGAAACAAAAATGTTTGTCATATTAATTTGCTGTGTGATTTTTTGGCTGATTAAATATGTTCTTGAACATGTAACATTTTGGGCAGCCTTTGATAACATGTGTCTGTAATATACTGAAATAAAACTTCCTAAATTCACTTTTTGGGGGGATGGGGAAGAAAATGAATATGTGATGGCAGGAGAAAATGGGACTCCTGTTTCTTCCTCCTAGGAGTGGTATTTCTCACTTACTATGTGGATGACATTTACCCTTTTCCATCTTCATTTTCCTTCCATATATTCACAATATTTCTTTATCTAAGGAAACTATCTCTTAGAAGATTGATAGGATATTTATAGAGAAATTTAATTCCAAAGTCAACAGGAAGGCAATATATTTTATTTAACTTCTTCCACTGAGTCTAGGCAGAACTTTCATGCATGATATTATAGCAAATCTGGATTATGGGTGAGCAAATGTTCCTCTTTAAAAATGATCTATCATGATGGTCAATCTGTGCTACATGTGAGGGCTTGGATGCAAAATGGTAAGAACCAGTGAGGAGAACTTGGTTGCAGGGATATCCATAACTACATAGATCTTCACTATTAAATCCTGCTCCATAAAATTCAGTAATGGCAAGAGAGTCCATAAATGAGCTTTGTTCTACAAAATTTAACACTCTTCCACCACATAAATAATTTGTAATTATCTTTTACCTGGTTCTTTTCTCTCTTCAGTAACACAAATAATTAAGTGTTGATTCTACTTATAAAGAGACTTTAGAAAATAGTCACTTTAAGAAAAATTAATATGGAACAGATTATTATTTTTTCACTAATGAAGAAGAAACTGTATGCAAATTACCAAATTTAGTAAATTTATTAGGGGAAAAGAGAAGAAGTTAAGAGCAAACAGTATTTAGGCACTAAATGTAGTCTATACATTTATTTTTAGTAGTTTAACTTAATATTTATGATGATACTTCAAAGTACATTTTGTAAGAACTATAAAAGATATTATAAATACCTTATGATAGTTTTCCTATTACTTAGTTTTTGTGGCCAGGGGTTGCAAGGTTTAATTTGAAAACCAAATGGTTTACCACAAAAGTGTGATCAATTGTGATCAAATATAAAAGTATGTCCTTGTCAAAGTTATTTAAAATATTTAATAACTCTCAGGATACACCTATCCAACTAATACTACTACTGTAATATACTGTTCAAATACATGGCAAAAACATATTAATGCCAGTAAAATGTTTAACTGAGTGTGAGAAATGTATTCTGGGTTGTCCAGACTTGAGAAGCAGAGAACATTTTCTTCTTGGCAGAAGATAATACTAATGGAAAATACTTATAACTGGGAATAAACAAGCAAGAGCAGGTAGCTGGCATGGAAATCAGTGCAGAGACCTAGCAGCAGCCAAAATGGAGAAGTGCAATTCACTGCAAAGGCTTATAACATGCCATTTCCAACATCACTGTAAGATAATAGTATCATTGTTATCAGATGCCAGACTATGTCATCAGGGGCAAAAACCTAAGAGCTGCTGTACCATTTTCAGCTCATCTGGCTTTTCACATAACAGAGCCACAAACTACTGTCTGTGTCTCTGCAGGCAGGGCTCACAAGGCCACCTTAGGAACCTGTATCTAGCTTGCTAAAGTTCAGCCTTCACCCTGCATGATATCTTTTCACTCCAATCAGGAGAATTCTCGCCTCTGGACCACAGATGCTGCCATCCACACAGGTGGGCAACTCCTCCTCATTAGTCTGTGGAGGCGAAGTGGTGATGGAAGCAGAGCTGGAGTTGACTCCACACTGAGACTGGCAATGTTTCCCTTTTCCTCTCAGAATCCACCAAATGAGCTTGTAGGGAATAAGAGAAGACAGTGGGAGCTTCCAGTCCAAGACTGTTCTAAATCAACGAGGTGAGCCTGGCTGGTAAGGGCAATGCTGGGAAGCATCAATCCAGGTCCCCTTGAACAATGCAGTGCACCCATAGAAAGAACAGGCTTTGTTTGAGGAGTCTCTGGACTAATCCCATATGGTACTGGAAAGCAGGAGGAGGGATTTCCAGGTACCCAGGAGTTGTTACATTGGCTAAGAGAGGTTTCTGTACCAATTTGGAATTTATAGTGTGAACATCATGGGACATGAAAACTATTTATGTGTTTTAAAAATAAAAGACTAGGACTGCAAACTCCAAGTGTGTCCTTCTTTCCATTAATTTGTGGCATATTTCCAGCCTACTTATAGGCCTGATGTGTCCTAGGCTTTTAAAGGAGACAGAGATACCCAGGCACCCTCTCTGTGTTCTGATTTTAAGTGAGCAGGGCCCTTGAACAGGGCCACCATCAAGACTGTGCACCAGGATCCAGGGTACAATTTTATTCTTTCTCTAAATGCCTAAGGTGACAAACATGGAGTATTGGTCATAATACTGGTCATGGGCTTTTTTGGTGTTATTTAATTATTTTTTCCAGTTCAGATATTGCATTGATATTCAGATATTGTTAGACAGATATTGCATCTACCTTTTTCTATGGCTATTCCATTTCAACTAAAGGACCACAATGGCTCAGAATGGAGGCTATGGAGACAGGGGGCCCAAATTTAATTTTTGGTTCTGTCACTTACTGACCATGTGACTTTAAACTATTCCCTTCTCTTTCTTGGCTTCCTTGGAATTAAAACAGAGTAACTGGTCATATGTCACAGAGTTGTTTCAGGCCCGAATTAAAAAGTACTCTGTAAAGAATTTAACAGTTCTGCCCAGGATGAGGCAGACACTTAACACTTAATACATACTGACTGCTGCCATTGTTATCATCATCATCTAATAAGTAATAAATAATATAAATGACAAGACTATTTAAAATTAGAGTCTATTTGTGTTCATTCATAGATGTGTTATTAGTAACTAAGATATCCAAGGTAAATATTGCTTTAATCCTTTTGGTGATGATCTGCTTAATACAGTTGTTTGAAAAGGGGACGGGCTGTGTAAAACGATTTGTTCTGGTGTCATACATACTATATACCATCACATAGTGTCCCACAATAGGGGAAGCAGAAGAAATCTTATCACAGGACTTTGTTTTCTTCACAGAAGACTTAAATCTAGGGAAAGGGGATTTCATGAAGTAGAGAGGGGAAGCAAGAATTGGAATTGTGAGCTAGGCATATATTTGTGTTAGAGTGCTGGCCTAACATACACAGCTTATGCAAGGCCCTGGGTTCAGTTCTAAGCAGCACACAAACACAAATACACACACATAAAAAAGAAAACCCACACAAATAGGTCTTATTACTTGCCTCATTAATGAGATGAAGCAAATAGGTCAGAGTCAGTCAAGCCTCTTTGTGGAAATGGGATGAGGAACCTCTCAACAGGCAGAACAACATGAGCACCGGCTGGTTCACTCTTTAATACAATAGATTAAATGTTTATCAAGTGTCCAGTCTGGGTTAGGAATGGAAGAGACAAAGATGATTAAGCCATAGGTCCTGTCCTCACAGAGTTTCTATCAACTGAGAGTCACCAAGTCTATTCTGTAGAGAAAGGAGATCAGAAACAGGACAACTAGAGAATAACCTGAGATAACAAGTGCTTCAACTTAGAGGAACTGCAGCATGTATTGAATTCATTTTCTTTCTTTCACTCAAACCCATAAAACTGAAACTGCACAAGGCTGGAGCCTGCCTGTGAGGAGCTCTGGGGATTTGACTTCAAGCATTGTGAGCCTTTAGAATGCTGGACACATTGAAATTCTGCTTGTTGATGATGTGTGCCATTGTCACTGTTGCTAGTAAAGAACACAAAAAGTTGACAGCTGTAGAAGTCATCAGTTTAACATTACCTATATTTCATTCTGTGGAGTTGAAAAACAATGCAGCAGAACATACTGTTTTCTTCACTTGAGATTACAATAATCAGGGCATCATCACCATGATCTGAGCACATGTTCTGGCCGGTTCCAGGTCGATGGCCATCCTGCCTAGCTCTGGGGTATGATGGTAACAATACAGGAGGTGTTTTTCCAAGGCAGTTTGGTTTCTCACTGTCACAACTGTCAGCAGCAATGCTACAAGACTCCAGGTGGCATGACTCAAATGCAGCTTCATGCATTCCCATGGCCTCAGGTAAACAGGTACCAACTGCATAAATATTCTCTTCCTGTCAGCTGAACAACATAACTCTCCTAGCCATACCAGGCTTATCAGTCCTTTGAGAAAATACTTGAAGACAAGCTCTGTGTTCAGTAACCACAGAGTGGTTCAGTGCTCTGGGGCCCACTGCTAATACATCAGAAAGGGCAGTGCCAAGAGTTCAAAACCTGTCCAGATATCTTCTGCCCACAAATACTTATTTTTTACTGTGAGAAAATAAATGCAATGCTGGGGACCATGGTGCATGCCTATGATCTCAGTGGCTCAAGAGGCTGAGGCAAGAAGATCACAAGTTCAAAGCCAGCCTCAGAAAGTTAGTAAGGCCCTGAGCAACTTAGTGAGAAACTGTCTCAAACTTTCAGAAAGGGCTGCAGATGTGGCTCAGTGGCTAAGCACCCCTGGGATCAATCTCTGGCAAATAAATACATAAATGAATAAACAAAATACACACACACAATTAAAATCTACCATCTCAACCATTTTAAGTATAAAATGCAGTGGCACTATGTGTATACAAATAATCATAGAATATCACCAACTTCTATCTCCAGAAATTTTCATCATTCTAAACTGCACCCATTCTAATTCTGTACCCATTGAACACTAACTCCTCATTGCTTCCAGCCCAAGCCTGGCAAACACTATGAATCTGAACACTCCAGGTGCCTTATATAAGTGGAATCATACCATATTTGACTTTTTGTGACTGCTTTATTTCAGTTATAATGTTCTCAAGGTTAATCTATACCATAGCAAGTGTCAGAATATCCTTCCTTTTAAGACTGGAACTATTCCATTGGGTGCACACCATATTTTGTTCATCAGTTCATCTGTTAAAGGACACCTTTCTATGTTTTGGCTGTTGTGATTAATGTGGCTATAAACATGTGTGTACAAATAGCTCTTTAAGACCTTGTTTTCAGTTCTTTTAGACATATATCTAGGAAGACATCTTTGTAATTAAAAACAGTAGGACTGCATTGGTAAGCTCTAGTGTAGTATCGTTCTCATCATGTGCACACCTAAAACCGGGATTTCATGCTGCCAGAGAAATAAGTTCAACAGACTATGTTTGCCAAATCACAAAATTAACTAAGTAAGAGATTTCTTGGCTAATGTCCTCAACCACTGGAGTCCTCAATTCATGACGGAAAACAACATTTTAGAATCCAAAAATCTATTTTGTTTTTCTATATTCTGCTTAGTTTCTTTCTTAATTTATGGATATTTCATTAGGGCTAATTCATTTACCTTAGCTTAATTTGATTTGTTATTTGTTCAGAGCTCCAGTTAAATTGTTGTAAGTTCTTCACATATTATCCCTAAAATTAGCAGTACAACATCTGAAAGAGAAATGATTGCTGAGTGACCTCGATTATACTAAAAAAATGCCAAAGCCAATGCAGTGGTCAGTAATTAAAGATGTTTTTGAGAATCTGAAATTTTGTAAATCATAGAGCACGTGGCATTTTAAAAATCATGATCAATGTCTTTTATGTCTTGTGTTAGGAAAAGGACCTGAAAATCAATGAACAGTGTTACACTGTACATAATCAGATCTATAATTTTGACCTTTGAAACTGTGAACTTTTTAATGGTGCTCATTAATCAACTACACTTTTCCCAGAGTGAGTTTCTTCCTCCACATAATTTATTATACTTTTACTTAGATATGTTTAACTTCATTTAAATTTGGGTGCTGCTGCTGTTCTTCATGTCAACTGTCAACTATAAAATAAAAACATGCACATTATAAGTACTGTTTATTTAGGTTACATTCCTTTGGTAAAATACTGTCTACACTTGGCAGAATTTCCTTGAGGGTATAGTACCATGCCTATGAAGGGTAGAGGACACTAATTGCAGTTTGGAAGAACCTGGCAAGCTCAGATCTAGTGAATGTTCTTCCTCCAGTAGACATCAACAAACTCGACTTAATCTAGCCCAGGCCTTAATCCAGGCCTATATCCTGACACTTCAGGATAGGAAAAAATAATTTTTAATTTTAGGCAGAAGTTGTGGGACAAGGGTTAGATGTTGTTTGAAAATTCAAATAAAGAAGGTCAGTGAAGTCTAAGTGCCTGCAAGCAATTAGGACATCCTGAAGCTAAACCTGTATACCTTAGGCTCCCAAGAAGGCGTGTGTTGTGTGTTGGCCTAGGCTTAGGAGTGGGCTGTGGCAGCACATAGGAGGCCTGGAAGATACTGCATCTGTCTGAGGGAAGGTGGCAGGGCTGTGGTATTTTGTGTGTTAGATGTGCTGTGATGGCCCTGGTTTGCTTCAGCCAAAAGCAGCAAAGGACCAAGTAGGGTCACAAGGCTGTGGACTGGACAGACACTGGACTACTCAGAAATTTCAAAGTCCTCGATATTATTTAAATTATCTTCTTTAAAGTCAGGTCATAAAGATGGGGCTGGACAGTTTTCCCTTGGTACTTATGGGGGTTGGTTCCAGTAGTCTCTGTGCATGTTCAAGTCCTTTATGTAAAATGACATAGTACTTGCACATAACATACATTTTCCTATATATTTTAAATAATCTCAGATGGCTTAGAACACCTAACACAATGCAAAGGCTGTGTTACTGGTTGCTATATTGTATTGTTTAGGGAAAATGATAAGGTCTGGACATATTTAGGACAGATGCAATCTTTTCCCTAATGTTTTTGGTCTTCAATTGGTTGAATTCATAGATTTGGAACCTGTGGAAATGGAGAGGTGACTACAAAAGGAAACAGAGTATTGCGTTTGTCTCAGCTTGATAAATCTTATTCCTTTTTAAAGGTAGCAAGTAAAGAGTACACAAAGAAATTCATACCCACGTGTTAGAAAGAGCCCTGCCCTTGCATGAGTCCTAGATTTCCTGCCTTCTCACATGGGCTGGAGGCACACATGGCCCTAAGCACTGGAGTCTCTGAGTAATCCCTCAGGAAGGAAAGACTGGATGGGTGGCTTGCCTCCTGGAACCATCCACGGAAACCAGTACCACAAGGGACAGCCAATCACCCTGTCTTTCACTTGGGGGTTGTTTTTAAAGACTAGAAAGATGATTCACATGAAAAGATTTAAGATTTAACCTTCAGAGAGAAAGTGACCTAATAAGATTCTCTGAGGCTCAAGTGTCCAAAAAATTCCAGCTTGGATCTGAGAGAGATTCAGGAGCCAATAGCAATTTGAAGTGCAGAATGTGGGATTGAACTCTGACGGTAAATGGGAGGCATGATCATTCATGACCACTTGGCCACAAAACCTACAAGATAACTGAAGCTTAAATATCCCTGTGGTTCCAAGTTGAAACCACTTATTCACAAAGTAGGTTGCAGACTGGTTGAGCTACCTGAGGGCTTTACAGAACACTAGCAACTCTGTGATAAGGAGGAAATATGACCAAGGAAAGGGCCTACGACATTCTTCTGGTTTAAGACACCACCTATGGCCAGAAAACTAGGCAAAAAGAGATTTTTAAAATGTGATCACTTATGTCTTGACTCAGCTTATCTTAAAAGAGAATTAGGATCACAAAGTAGTGACTGAATATATTTGGCCAACACAGTATTAAACATTGATAAATTTCCAACAAATAAAATTAGAAGACTTAATCAAAGAAATCAAGATTTCTTCCCTCTTTCTAATGGGGACAGGAAGATATGTGACATTGCTGTATGTGACTGAAGCTGGGTAAGGAATTATTTCTCAAAATGCTGTGTGCCAGGACCTCACCTGTACTCACCTAGGTCATCCATAGGGACCCCATGTGGGCAATTATAACTGTGATGCTTAACCACACCTTCTGAGACCTTTAGGACCAGAACTCTTGAGCCAACCCTCACTTAACAAATCATAAAAGAAACATGCTGACAGCTGTGACTATAATACTGAGCAACCAACAGATGCCACAACGATGAAATAATTCTCAGTGAGGACACCAGCAGGCATTTCTAAGCTTCCTCTAAGGAACAATACCACTCCTGGATGATGGCTACTAGTCAAGATTTTCAGTGAATACTATGTCACAACTTCATTTTGAGGATCTTAATGGATCTCTGAGAGTTTCTTTTCTTCCTTTTCAGTAAAGGTTAAAGCCATACCTAGGAATGATGAATTGGTAATTGACCAATTTTTTTTTAAGGAGTGGCCAATTTCCTCAACTACTGACCATGCTGACTCCAAACCCCAACTCAGGCTTTTAAGACAAATCAAGTAAAAGGATAAAGGACATTTTTGATAGCTCCCAATAACTATGCACTCACAAGAACCATTTCAGCAAATGGCTTTCCCCTGAATTTATTCCTATTAATATTTTCTTTCTGACACAGGGACAATGAGCAAACGTACATCACAAATTCATATCAACCATGCCAGAAGGAACAGTGCCATGCAATGACACAGTGGGAGGGCTATTAGCTGCAGAGCAGCTTTTCTGGAAATGAGAAGGCCACCCCACCATGAACCTGAGACATCAGACATAGCTACCAAAGACGAAGGTCTAGAGACTTCTACTGTAACACCCTGAATGCAAGACCTGAAAAACTGGATGTTTTGACTGATTAGGACCCGTGCCCATAGTATAAGGAAAATTCATGTGGAGGCTGTTCATTCACTTTTAAAATTTTTAAAAAAATAGCTGTAGATGGACACAATATCTTTATTTTATCTATCTATTTATTTACTTATTCATTTTTATATGTTGCTGAGGGTCAAACCCAGAGCCTCACATAAGTTAGGCAAGCGCTCCACTAATGAGCTACAACCACAGTCCCTGATTTTTCATTTTTGAATATCACTTTTTTAATCTAAATTCATGTTGCTTGTGAAAAATGCAATGGAGTATATTATTTATAGTTTCAGAAATAGTATATTATTTATCATACAAAGTTTCAAAATAGCAACTTTGGGTTGTTATACTTAGGGAAGGGAGGAATGGAGATGGAATGGTTAATGGGTACAGGGGTACAATAGAATAGAAAGAACAACTTCTAATATTCTATAGGAAGCTATGATTGACTATAATTAATTTAACATAAAGAGGATTTGTATGTTTAAAAAAAATCATAGTTATGTCTTTGGTGACAGTGACATATGTTAGTTACCATTATCTGATTCCCTACATATTGTATCCATGTTGAAATGACAGCCTGCATCCCATAAATATATGTAATTACTGTCAATTCAAAAATATTAAAAAATGAATAAATAAAATAATGGTAATTTAAATATAATTAGAGTATGAGACCTTTTTTCTTTTAATTAAACTGTATCAGATTTATATACCTATTCTTTCAGCTATTTTAAAATATTAAATTAAAATTTCAAAGAATTACTATTTGCATTTTTTAAAAATTATATATTCTACGTAGAGAATCTTTTCACTGTTATATTTATACTACAGAAATATAAAATATATTATAAAACTTATATATCAGATTTTTTTTAAGGTCAAAGCAATTCAAAGTCTTGTGTTACATTTAAGTCTTTATTTATTTAGGAGGGCCTCCTGCTTGCTAGGCAAGTGCTCTACCACTGAGATACACATCCCTATGACTTGTGTAGACAAGTGTTTCTCTTTGTTATTGATGAGGTATGTTACATTTCTAGAATGGGCAAAGCACTGCACTAGATGTCAGAATGGGGTGTTGAAGATGACTAAGAAGGATCATCCCATATGTCATGCTATAATCTAATAGGAAAAATGGCACCTAAATTGCCCAGAGTGTGAATGTCAGGAGGCTAGACTGTTGCCACTGAAATTAGAGGAGCGCCAAATTTCAGGTGTCCAAACTGGAATTGGGGCTCTTAGGCAGAGGCTGCATCCATCATCACAGGAACTCAATTAATGTTGGAAATTTGTGACCATGCTGGTGAGTACTTAGGAGAGATAAAATGGGCCATTCTTAGATGAATAACATCAAAATTTTTGCCAATTTTCTTCCTTGTCTTATTTTTACAGAGAAGTAGAAGTATGTTAGAACTCAATAAATGATTCCATTTTTACTTGGTGCAGTAAACCTCATAAAAATAGCTTTGCTTTATTTCCATATGGTAGTGCCAAAAAGGAAACAGGATATATGAAAATAACAAAGCCAAAAACTTCTTTTAGTGGATCTAGTGAAGCATCATTCACTTTAAAAAGTCTGTAAAAACACTGGGCAAAAACATGCCTGTCTTATTTAAGTAAATATGTTATTTAACATAGTTTTACAACTTGCAACACTAACATTGTCCAAAAAACCCCAAATCAGAAAACCCTTATCCTTCTAACACAACAGTTCTTATTTATTCTTTATAAATTTTAGTTTTATTCAATTTTCTATAAATGGGTCTAAATGAGTGATCCCATTTATAACTTCTTTCCCTGTTAAAAAGAAATTTAGATTTATGCTAGAAGAGGGATCATGTATCTAGCACAAAGAACTCAGATTAGAAATCAGCTTATTTATTTCTTAAGGTATATAGTTTTTACTTTTACTGTACATATTTTCATGGCTATTTTCATTATTAATACAAAACAAAATCAGAAAAAAAATTGAAGAAGTGATATTATGAAGTTTGAATCCCTGGACTCACCAAAATGATTTGAACAATCATTCCAATCTGGATACATCCAGTTTTAATGTTCATGATATTTCCCACTCTACAAACCTTAGAGTAAACTCCTGTCAGCAGGAATATAGACAGATACACTTTCTAGAGAATGCCAGACCATAGGTTGGGATAGGTCAGTCAATGTTGATACCATCTGGGAACAGCCATGTGACAAATGGTCAGTTGTAGTAGTTAATATACAACCCTCTCTTTATATCCTTAGATGAAATCTACGGCTGGAGCTTCAGAGGTCAGGTTTACAAAAAGATACAGTTTTCAAAAGCTATGCTAAAGGGTAAGTATCAAATAAGTTGTGCTCATAAGTATCCAAGCATTAAAATTAAGAATCTGCTGGACAACTGTTCCCTAAGATGGCTCTGATAATTTTCCCTGATGAGTGTAGTACAAGCCCAGGGACAGATCCTGGTCACAAGGCTGCATAAGAGCCCATAATCCAGGTGGTTCAGGAGCCTGCCTGACCTTCTAGAATAGTGATAGCTGCAGGAGCAGAACTGAAGACAGGTTCAGGGTCCATGCAGGTGCACGAAGAGGTTTTTAGCACCCTGAGCAGGGCCAAACTACCTTGTGTCCTTACCCCAGGAAGTGAATCAGTTGTTACTTTGCCAGGTTTAGTTTGGCAGTTTTTGAACCTCCATATATTTGTGGTTAATTCCAAGGCCATATCTACTCAGAAGCTTCTGGGTTTCTGAGGGCTTTTCCAACCACTTGTGGTTTTCTTCTCTGCCGAGAACATTGATCTTTCCCCCATAATCTAACCTGTTCCTTGACTCAGTGATGGCCTCTACATAAAGAATCCTAGTGAGTTAGCAAAAAGAAGGGTTTTGCTTGATGCTTTCAGCCACAGCACTTTCACCAAGGCCTGGCCTTTAGGAAAGAGGCCAGTGAGCTGTCTCATTCCAGGTGGCTGAGTCACTAGCTATCTCCATAATTAAAGATCCATCCAGTGTGTGTCCTTGGATGCAAAGGAGAGATGCTCCCCACAGGCAAAGTAGGGGAGGTTTCCCTCTAAAGCATAGACAGTTCCTGTCCCTGCTCTTATCCTATGTCTGAAAACAAAGACTTTGAGGCATACACACAAGGGACATTGACGAGAGAGAGGCACTGAGAGCTTCTCTATAGCAGATTATGTTCATTGTTAATATAGTTGATATTTGCAGGAGCCAGCATTTGAAAGGATTGACTTATTTTTTTCTCCTAACACTTTCTGAGATAGATTCTATTATTATGTCCTTGGTACAGCTGGGGGAAACTGAGGAACACAAAACTAGGTGGTTCACACAGGCAGGGAGCCTCAGACACAAGCCCAGGCAGCAGTCTCCAGGGCCCTGGCTCCCACCTCCACAACTCCCAGACTTCCTGAGCCTCTGAGGAGGAAGGGGTGTGGCTAATATGCCTTTGCCTCAGGATTTACTATAAAACTTAACAAATTTCTTTCATTCACTGAGCCACAGGAAAGCATCTTCATTATTGTGCCATCAGAAGAAACTAATGAATTGACAAAAATTACACATATTCAAAAGGATTTCAAAAACATCTCTATAAAAGAGGAAGTAGAAAATGGATTTTATAAATAAAAATATTTTTATAAATAAAAGATATCTGAAAATATTCTCTATTGATGATTCAAAAAGACTATGGCATGCTGGCAGCATTTCAAATATCTGTAGTCTTAAAATAATGGTAAACTGTGACAAGCTGATGATGGTACCATGCTTTTAGCCAATGAGTACAGAAGGATCCTTCATTTTACAGAACAAGGGGCACCTGTGAATTTTACTCCCAGGAGTCACTGCAGCAGGGTGATAAGGACTCAGACACATTTGTGTTTAATCCAGCCTCTGCCACCTACTACATATGTGCCCTGGGACCAGTTCCTGAACTTCTGAATCCTTAAGCTATTATATTTATCAAGCACAAACTATGTACATACATAAGCTACTTTAATCCTCACTTCCTCTCCATAAAATACACTTCAACCACATCATCATATTTCATAGACACAAATTAGTGCATAGAGGTGAAACCTTATTTAAATTCATACTTCTTCGAATTTGAAAGCTGGAAGGCGAGATTCTAAAGGCATGCTCCTTAGCATTCTCTGACAGTTTCCTCCATCAGGTGGAAGGTTGGTACTTACATTCCTTACCCTCCTTTTAAAATAAAATCATTTTTATAAAGAATTCCGAAAGAATTCTGAATAAGCCATAGTTAAATAAACTATTAGGTTGAGTTCAGAAATGGGGATTAGTACAGGAGCTAGAGTAATCACATAAAGTCTAGGTTAGGAGAGGCCTTTATACAGGTCTATTTGTTCAACTTACCCTTAACTACCAACCTATTCAATTTTCATGTAGAAACATGAAGGACAGGAGTTAATTGAGAGGTGGAAATGACATGCCCATTATACATCTGTGTGCACATATGTACTGTTTCAAGTATGCCAGAGCATGTGCAAGGGTAGAGAGGTCTCAGGATCTGATTCTTATATATGACTCCATCCTAAATTCATATTTTAAAAAAGCTATTCAGGAAGAAATATCTTCATGATTTCCTTCTTGTAGTTTCAAGAACTGTGATTCTGAAATAGGAGTTTGAATTAAGCATTCAGAACTTAAGATGTTTTCTGCAAACGAGTCACACTTAGCAATAGTGGGGGAAATCCTATATCCTATGTAAACAGGCAGAGGAGGGGAACTAGAGCTAATGTCAACTTGCCTCCAGCAACACACCTCAGGCATCTCTTTGAAAATAGACCTTTCATCAAATTTTCTCTCTTATCTTTTTTGTTTCATGATAACTTCAGAAATATTTCTCATTTTTATTGCAATTTTCATCTTGGCAATACTAGTATTGTTTAAATATAATAGAATGGGCACTAAATATTTAACAATTTATGCTTCATTTGTAAAATGTATATCAATCAGTTAAAATGAGTTATGGAAAGAAGACAGGAACATAATGTTTCAAGATTAAAACAGTTATATTTTCCTGTAACCAGTGTTTATGTAATAGAACAGCTACCATTTGCTATTTTGCCCAGTAATTTATTTCTCTTTAATTATTTCCCAATAGTCACAACTTCTGCAATTTCAATGTATCTCAGGGGCTGAGACATGAATATTATTGTAATTAATACAAATTTTCTCAAACTTATGAAAGATTTACACCAATTTTAGAAACAATAGTAAATATAATTAATCATGGTAAATTTGATGGTGCTTATATACTAAATTCTGTCTAACATGTAATTGAGATAAATTGTTCCTTTGAAAAATGTTGAAAATGCAGGTATTTTCATTTACATAAATAAACTTAATTATCCATGGTGAAATATGGAAAGAAATATCTACTATTCATGTTAATATACTTTAATTTTGAGAGTATATTACCATGTGGCTCTGCATGAAACTTTAATTTTATAGATCTTTATCTCCCATCTTACCTTAACAGTTGCTATATAAAAAATGTTGCATCCTCAAAAGAACACATACTTTTGGATAGGAAAAAATAAAAAGAGATTGCTTTGCTTATAGAACAAAGTAAAATAAATGTTCAGGTTTTTAAAGAAAAGAGATTTTCATATTATATTAGTCCAGACAAGGGCCAAATGACTTAGGACTCACAAACAAAAAAACTCATTGATTTATGAGAGGTTTATAGGACATTAAGACAGAATGTCATGTCAGTTTTTAGTCATTATTACGTATATGCAAAAGAATTTCACGAGTTAGTATTGAGTTGAACAGATTTTACTTTTCCACCTTCTCCAACTATTTTTAAAGAAGGCCACTCCCTCTCTTGGGCATAGGTGGTCTTTATGACCAATGCATATATTTGAGTTGGCTGACTCAGAATGCTGTGGGTAAAGAAAAAGCAGGCTAACTAGCCCACACAGGAATGAGCTCGAAGTTTGGTAGAATTAGGTTCTACCAGCAAAAATGACTAATTATGTCTAGAAATCCACACCTGAGGCTGTGCTTGCCTTTTTCTCTCTCATTCCCTTTTTTCACTTCCCCGCTGCTTCTCCTTTTTAATTGAGGGCCTCCTATGGGACAGGGAGAGACGTGGCTGAAAGATCAACTACTCACCAGCGAACATTTCTGGGCCTGAAGTGACTGAACAAAGAGAACATTTGGCAGACCTACTGGGTAGGCTTAAATAATGAAACATGCTTGTTACACATCAATAACACTCCAGCAACTTATCTATGATTAATAGCATGTTTTAACTATTCTGTTTAAAAGCACTACTTTTAGAATTTAGACTTGAATTTGGGTGAGAAGCCCTGAACTATTAGAAGTTTTTAAGAATTTGTGTTAACTATGACAGTTTGTATCACATTATTGCTCTGGCCTAAGTTTCATAGGTCTTACCTATTCTAAGAATAAGGCATTGGCTAATTTGCCTTATGGAAAATTTCAAAAGAAGCAAAGACAAACATGGTGCATGCTGTGAAGACAGCCCTTTAAAGAATATTGTGCAGTAAATAATCATGTAATATTTGACAGGACTTAGGAGTATTTAGCCTAAAGTTGTATCAAGGCCATATGTTACCGTAGGCAATCTCTTCAAATGCATAATTTATAACATCACCTCTGTGACTACCTGAGAGACTTAGGTAGAGAGATGAATTAATCCATCAGAAATAGACCCTTAGAGGATTAGTTAACATTTAGCTAAAGTCACAAGGGCAACTGGATTACTAGTTTCAAATGATTCCTCACAGAGGGCTTGCTATATGACATAAAGATCCAATACATTCCCAGAATTTACAATAAATCACTCTGAAATCTTCAGTTTGAATATCCAAGCACAGGAGAGTTTATTGTTGCTTAGGTTTCTGTTTTAATTGAGTTATACTATTACCACTAGTACTAAGA